TCAGCTGAAGGGCACGGAGTCCCGAACCCCTCGACTGCTGCACTGCTGCACAGGAGCGTAAGTCCCGCCAGAAAGTTCTTGCCTCCAGGAAAATATTTTAAGGTGAAATTAAAATAGTTGAAGTATTGAGCCCATTGAACATGCTTGGAGGATAATTTACGAGGGATCTTGAGAGCCTCCAAGTTTTTTTGATCAGTCCACACCTCAAAAGGTAATCCCCCCCTCCAAGAAAATCCCCCCCTTTCTCCCAAACCACCCACCTTCTCTCGGTCTCAGTTAATTTCCGGGAAGTATAAACACAAGGTTGTAATTCTCCTCTGTGATTTTTTTTTAACAGAACGGCACCCATGGCCATATCGCTTGCATCAGCTTGAATGATAAATTGTTGCCCAGGGTCAGGGTGTTTAAGGGCTGGTTCAGCTGCAAAGAGTCTCTTTAGATTTTTGAATGCTGCCTGACATTCTAACGACCATTGCAATAGCTGACAAGGTTGGGGTTTTTCTCCCACCTTTGCCTGTTTTGAATAAGTTGGTGATTGGCATGGCTCTCATTTCAAAAGAAGGAATAAATTGACGATAAAAGTTGGCAAACCCTAGAAAACTTTGAAGCTGTTTACTGGTGGTGGGGGTTGCCATTCCAAAACTGCTATGACTTCAGCAGGATCGATTTCTACTCCCTCATTCGAAATCAAGTACCCCAGGTAGTCAATGCATGTCTGGTGAAATTCACATTTTGACAGTTTTGTATACAGTTTGGCTTTCAACAGTTTTCTTAATACATCAAGGACTAATTTGATGTGCTCATCCATGGTTTCAGTGTAGATAAGCATGTCATCAAGATAAACTAAAACCCCTTTGTATAAATGATCATGGAGCACTTGATTTATCAATTGCATAAATACAGCAGGGGCTGGTTGCAGTCCAAAAGGCATCACTTTAAATTGGGAACTCCCCAAAGGGCAATTAAAGGCTGTTTTCTGGCTTCTGGTTCTGCGCAGCTAGTGTACCAACTGAGGGATCCAGACAATCCAATCCTTACAGCTGATTTCTCTCTGTTTGGGGACCCTAAATGGGCCCAAAGCCACTCCAGAGAGGTGGCAAGGAAGGAGGGAAACCCCGCCGATCCTGGGGAGACGGTAGTTAATCCAGACGTCTGGAGAAAGCTCTTCAAAAACCGACAGAAGAAAAGCTAGCATCATTCGTGAGTCTAGCCCAAGCTACATGCAGCCGAACCCAAAAAGTACTAAACTAAGTGTGATTGTAAACAGCGTGACTAAACTGGGTAAGAATATTGATTTTTTCTCTCTCTTATCTGACTGATTTCCTGAGAAAAAAAGAAAAAACTCCAGAAGTAAAAATCCTCCGAAAGTGAGGGTTTGTGTGTCTTTTAAGTTTAGGGGCGGGGGAATTGAAAGATGGACTGGTGCTGACATCTAGTGGGGGATGAAAATACTGCCCTAAATATACAGCCCAGAAAGAAAAGCCTGTTGTCGTGATCTTCAGGGGGTTGATTAAACAAAGAGCAGCTGTTACAAAAGAAATTTATTTATTTATAATAAGACTTATAATAAATGAAAACATTGTGGACTATCTACAAAGTGAAAACTATAAAACTTAGAAAAAATTGACCTTCCTGGATTATAAATATTTTTTAAATTGCTACTTTAAAGTGATTGGCAGAGAAAGGACTTTTGGTCATTATGGAGCATCAGAGATCTGCAGAAAGAACATACCAAGAAAAAAAATACTTACCAGGAAGAAATGTTTGTTCTGTTACAACAAATGCAAATGATATTAACTTCAAACCATGAGGAAATTAAAAATGAATTTGAAAATGTAAATGAATGCATTCTCAATTTAACATCACAACAATCAAATGATGAGAAAACAAAGAGAGAGAGAGAGATCATGTAAAGCACACAACTGAATATAAGCTAGTGGAGACTCAAGTGGAGAAGGACTTACAAGAAACATTGAACATTGACTTCTGGTTCTGGTATGCGGCGACACCGGTCGTGTCTGGGGACTCGTCTCCATTCCAGCCGGGTTTTCTTCACTGGTAGACCCCTTAGCGGGTCGAAAGTCACCCTGGAGGGGCGACCACCGAGGAGGAGGCTTGCTGGTGACTGTGGGAGGGCGCCAGCTTCTCCCATGGCGCCAGCTATCTCCTTAGGGCCAACGGAGCAAAGATCGTCCTGCAAGATGGCCAATCACTCTGCTGCACCAGCCGAAGTCACAATTACACCTAAGCAGGGCTTTTTTTCTCCCTCTTTTCCACCGCCTTGAGTTTGGACCGGTGCGGGAGTAGTTTGGGATCCTGGCGGGGAAATCTCTTGTCCTTACGTTCATTTTAAACCCTCCCCGATAAAGGCCACACCCTCCCCGATAAAGGCCACGCCGGCCGGGCCTTTTTCCACGGCCTTGCGCCAAGGCGGCGCAAGGCGCTGAAAAAAAGCCCTGCACCTAAGTATATCAGACCCACCACGGATGATCCGGGTGAGACCCTCTTTGCCCCTCTCTTTACCCTATTTGTTTTTTTTATTGCCTGTAAAAGCTTGGCTGGAATTATTTCGCCATCTGGAAAAAGCAACTTTTGTATGTGTGGGAAGAAAGGCGCTGAGAACAAAAAAATTTAAAGACTACATTTTCTTTTTATTCTTTTTGGGATACAGAAAAAAACTTTTCTTTGAAGTGTATTATTATTTTATATTGGAAGATTATTTCTTTCTCCACTTTTTCCTTTAAAAGATAGAAAAAAGGAGGAAAAAAATTGTGTCTGGGAAAGATTTTTTATTTACTGAGGACATCTAGTGGTGAAAAGGTAATATTGCAACTGTGGATTATTGTTTGGAGAGAAGGGCCTGACCTTCAAACTACTCTGGGAAGAGAAAAGATAAGCTGATGCAGCTGTGGGAACTGAGGGGGTGGACATTGCTCAACTACAGCTTTCACTAAAAAAAAAAAGAATTTTCTTCAATCACTTTTAAAATGGAGAAATTTTACTCTCACTTAAACTGCAAACTTATATTGGAAAAGATTTATGAGGCTACTGAAGAAATATGTGCCACAATGAAAGGGATTACTACAGAATTAAGAGCCAACTCTACCCCAAACTCTCAAACTGATTTTCAGACTACATCTGACTATTCTACAAACCAAAACATATCAGAAGAGGAACTAAAGGAGACTAAAGAGGAATTTGCTACAATGAAAGTGATTACCACAGATTTAAGAGCCAGAAACTCTTCTCCAAACCTTAAAACTGACTCTCAGACTATATTTGACTATTCTACAAACCAAAATATACTAAAAGATGACTTCATTGAGAATACAGAGGAACGTATTTCACCTTACAAGCATTTCATTTATATCTTTGAGGATCAGAAAAAGCAAAGATTGAGATTTGAACCTTTTAAGCAGCGAGGCTTCAAGGATAAGAGAAATAGAGGTCCAATGCAGAGGTCAGGAGGCTTTTCACTGTCTCAAATGATATTACAAGCAACAAAGAGAGATCTATGGTTGAAAGGGAAGCTCTATTATGGAAATCTGCTTGGCATAAAAAGAAGCCTAGAATAAGACTGAAAAGAGAAATTTAAAACTATATGTAATGGATTTAAGGCATTTTAGAACTATGGATTGACTTAAGGACTAAGTTTTTGAGTTAAAAGTAAGAAAAATGGTAATTATTAGAATATATATATTAAATAGATTAAGAATGTATTTTTTGGAATAATAGGTTTATTTGTATGAAAACTATTATGTAATGGAATAAAGAAAACTGAAGAGGTGTTTTAGATTGGGATTGAACTAATAATTAATTGAATGTTATTGTAACAAGATGATGTGTTTATTTGATAATATGGATGATATTAGATACGATAATTAATTGGATGAAATTAGAATTTTGTTTAATGTACTTAAATGATTTAAGGTTGATATTACTCTATGAGCTTAAAGAAATTGATTGACTGATGGATTAGATATGCATAGAATAGATCAATATTTTATTTTAATTAGGAGATATTAGTGGAAGAAGAAATAAATAATTCTTAAGACAAATGCTAATCAAAAATCCAAAGACAAAACATATATACTGTAGATAACTCAATCAATACATCAAATATTCCCTCTCTATTTCCCTCAAATAGCTTAATATATTTAAAATAGTCCATTTCTAACATTAAATTTCTATTAATCCTAAACCTGTTTTAGAGCTTTATAAAATTACAATACCATAATCAAATTTAACTTTTTTGGTTGCTGCTGCACACTGCTGGCTCATAGTCAAGTGATCGTTCACTAGGACTCCAAGGTCCCTCTCATAGTTACTGTTTTTCAGCCAGGTCTCGCCCAATCTATATTTGTGCCTTTGGGTTTTCCATTCCTGCCTAAATGTAAAACTTTGCTTTTCTCCACATTAATACAATACTTATGACAAATCATTTGTATAGGTTATTAAGCCAAATCAAATCATATGATTTAATACATCCAAGGCAGCAGAAAGTCTTTGCTTGGCCCCCCAAATTTAGGCTGCAATCCAGATAACATCACTTGGCAGCAAAGCGACAGAAAAATCCCTTTGCTGCCTGCTATAGGTGGCACCGGTATCTGTAAACCAGATCTAATACCTCCGATGACTTCATAACCCTTAAAACATTGTGTCTCAATCTTGGCAACTTTAACCTGGTTGGCTAGGGAATCTGAGAGTTGGAAGTTCACACATCTTAACGCTGTCAAGTTTGAGTTACTGCCCTAAACAGTAAAGTAATCGTACCGTTTGACAAATATTCCATAGTGTGTATAGTTAGATTTAAATAGATAGTAACCATATATAAGGTGAATTGGCTCACACAACATACTAAGGCCAACCAATGTTTTTGCCAATCACGCTTGGATGCATTTAGACAACACCTTCAAGCACAAAAAACACGGTAGAAAATGGGCTTCAAAATCTTTTGAGTCCGGCCCCCTTCTCAGAACTCCGCCTGCCGAACTGGGTGCGTCAGGATTTGTGTCAGAGAAGCAGAGGTGGCTGGTTCCTCTTCCCCACCGAAGCTCGGATTGAACTCCGGAACTGGTTCTGAGAAGGCCGCTTCCTCAACGAGTAGGGGGTGGGAGTTGTTTTCTTTCTTTCCGCAGCAAGCCTGGTGGGGCGCATGGCGTCGATAGGCATGCCCGACCCGAGCTTCTTGTGGGGAGTCTTCCAAAGGTGAGTCGTGCGAAGTTTCTCTTTTCGCATTCGGCTCCCTCCTTTTGCGCCGGGAATTCTTGATCTGAGTCTTCTTTGCTCTTGTTTTTGTCCTGCGTCGTAATTAGAATATTTTCTTGTGTTTGTTTTCAGGGTTGATAAAGACCGTAGCGGTATCATCTCCGACACCGAGCTCCAACAAGCACTTTCAAACGGTAGGATATCTTTTCTACTCCCTAGAAGGGCTGCTCTGGTGACAAGAACGCCGGTTGCGTTCACACAACTCTGTTATAATGCGTTTGGTTAACCCAGTTTGTTAAGTCGTGTATCTTGGTATGTTCAAACCTAGTTCATTACTCGATGCTTTAGTGTTTCTGGAGAGCACAGTATCTCCCCCTCTCCCCTGTTATCCCCTGTTATTGTATAGCAGGAAAGTTTTCTTATTGCAATATTAATAATCAAAAGCCAGAAAAATAAATGTAATTAAATTCAGTGGTAGCAACTGGAACCTGGTCATCAATTCCTAGAAAAAATATCCTTTAGGTAATGACACTGGGAAATTCCTGTTCCAAGCTACCATTCTTTTCCAATTCTAAAACTAAAATTTAGTGTATAGCTCATTTATAAATTAATTACACCCTTTTGGTGTATAATAAATTCTGATTAGCATGATCTCAAGCTAAGTTATTTTTCTAGGAAAATATGGAGGCAAAATTCCATGTTTTTATTACTTCTATTGTGTATAGAGATTTTTGAAATAAAGGAGCAAATAGCTAAAGAGGGCAGGTCTGATTATTTTTTAAAGAGGTGCCATCAGAAGTTCCAAAGACATCAAAAGAACATTCCATAGGAAGATAATGGCAATTTCCTTGTTGCTGCTAAGGAAATTTTATGAGCATGTCCAAATAGTCACCAGAAGTCATTCAGCTTCTGGAAGTATTTACCTGTATACATTAAAAGACATTTTTGCCTTGAAATGGAGATACTGTATATGTGAAAACTAAGAGAATTCAAAATATTTAGTTGAAACAAAGTAGTTAATTGTTAATCACAAAAAAGGTGAAAGTCCTAGTTATTGATTAATTTTAAAGAACAGTGAAGCAGTTGAGTATAAAGAATTAGACAAACTTGTGAAAGCTTGATTTCAAAGTTGGTGCCACTAAATATAATAAAGCTTTACAGGAGGTTTTTAAAATTTGTTTTAACAGCTGAAGGATTTTGCTATGATATTCTTTGATAATTCAATTAGAGATTTATTATAAAAATACCTGAACATTGTTTTCCAGTTATATATAACAAATAATGCAAAATCATGTTTTGTTTTATTCCATTAATACAGTGAAATTTTTTTTGAAACGACGTAGTTTTTAGTTTGTGGTGAATCATGTAAAGAGAAGATTTTGTAATATTTGTAAAGAAAAGATTACAGGAAGTTTGTGATAATGAACTGAATCAAGTGGAAAAAGAAGCTTTTCTTTGTGTTTGCTCAAATCATGTTGTTTCACTATATAAGAATTTTAAGTATTAGTATCTTGAAAGTTATAATGGTATTATAACTGACTGACTGACTGACATACATCAGAAAGTACTGTTGAAAAGATCATGAACTTAAGCAACGAGATTCTTCTGCCGGATCATATTTTAAGCTTATTAATCCTAACTTCTTTTTGTTTAGTTCCCAGTGTTTTAAGAAGATTTTTTTATTGTCCGGGTTTCTGTTTCCATACAATAATTAACAAACTTGAGATATAACCCCACTAAATTTGTCTACACTGAGGTATAGGAAAAGTGTGGCAGAAATGGAAACTCATTCAACATTCTCTTATATATGGGGTGAAGCTTGCACTGCTCTGTTCTGTCCAACTTTCTGCCAATTTTGATATTGATATCTTCAATAAATGCTGTTGAAATGACCTGTCATGCTCATATATAGTGCCTTATGTGATTAATAGAAATAGTATTGGTCATCTCCATTTAGAATACTGTTGAGTAATTAATATTCAATGTGTAATGTGACTTCAAAAAAAGTAAATGTCTCAGCAGATTTATTTCCAAATCATGGGAAAGGAACAGTTCTAATTTCTTTTTTGTTGACCAACCTTACTTTCAGTGTTGTATTCATATTAAGCATATGTTAAAAATAATTAGGGCAATCTGGAACAAACCAGTGCAGAAAAATTAAAAGTGATTGATGACTAGAAATTATAAAGGAAGATGGAAGTAATGAGGAATATTTAGTTTTGAGAAGACAGAATCATGCAGGGGCAGAATGGGTGGCATTCTGCAGTAACATGAAAGGAAACTACATTATTCCATGATAGGCCTTTGTCATTACAAAAGGTCATTAGAGTAGAGTAGAGTAGAGTAGAAGAGTAGAGCAGGGCTTTTCAACCTTTTCACCCATTGTACCACTTTTAGGATATCTGAGTACCACCAGTCGCCTAGCAAGGTGCCAAAAACTTGATGACCCCCCCAAAAAAGGAAAAAAGTAATAAAGTACAGGTAGTCCTCAACTTACAACAGTTCGTTTAGTGACTGTTCGAAGTTACAATTGAACTGAAAAAAGTTCCCCCCAAGCCACAGCCGAGCAAGACACCTGCCTGCCCACCTGGCGGCGCTCTTCCTCCTGTCCGAGGTGTTCATTGTTGTGAGTTATATAACCTGGATGAAATGTTATATTAGTGAATGAATTGGTTTTGGAAAGATATAGATTTGATTATATTTTTTTAAATAAATGGAGAGTTCTTTAAGTTTAAGTTTAAATGTGTGAAGAAAAATAGGTTTTTATAGATTGAAAATTTTTTATTGATTAATGCAGTTGATGGTTAGACATAGTAATGAATAAATTTATCTGAAAATGTATTAATTTGATTATAATATTCTATATAGATAGAGAGGGAATTTTTAAAGAAATATTGTGTATATACTTACTATGTTATTGTCTGTTTTTTTAAAAAAAATTGATCACCATGTTTCCACGTGGGTTCTTAAGCTGTGTTGGTGTAAAATGGAAAACTAATAAAAATTGTTTTGGAAAAAAAGTTAAGTATCTAGGAATCTACTTAACAGCAAAATGTATAACATTAAAAGAAGATAACTATGAAAGATTGTTGAAACAAATAAAATTGGACTGGGAAAAGTGGAAAAATCTTCCACTGTCACTGCTAGTGACAGTGAAAATGAATATTTTACTGAAAATACTCTTCTTATTCCAAACGATCCCTGTAAACTTGGAAAAGGACTTTTTTTTGATGATCTAAATGCAACAATATTAAGATTTATTTGGCAAGGTAAGAAAGCACGAATTTAAGTGAAAATGTTACAAGAAGCTAAAAATGGAGGATTTGGATTATCAAGCCGCCATCTTACCATAGCTTAAAGCAGGGCTTTTCAGCCTTTTCACCCATTGTACCACTTTTAGGATATGGCAATATCCGAGTACCACCAGTCGCCTAGCAAGGTGTCAAAAAATTGATGACCCCCCCCCCAAAAAGGAAAAAAGTGATAAAGTACAGGTAGTCCTCAACTTACAACAGTTCGCTTAGTGACTGTTCGAAGTTACAATTGCACTGAAAAAAGTTCCCCCCAAGCCACAGCCGAGCAAGACACCTGCCTGCCCACCTGGTGGCGCTCTTCCTCCTGTCCGAGGTGTTCTTTGTTGTGAGCATTTCTGTTGAGGATTGGCAGCAGGGGTGGGGTGGGGTGTTTGGTTTTTATTCCCCCCGTCTGCTGGGTTGTTGCAGCAGGTTTTGGTCACTTCACATGACCCTGGGACACTGTGACCGTCATAAATATGAATCAGTTGCCAAGCATCTGAATGTAAATCACAAGACCCTGGAGATGTTGCAATATTCCAGCTGATCGGCACTTCTTCTGGGCTCAGCAGAAGCGCCAGGATCAGTGCTGCTTTCCAGCTGATTGGTGCTTCTTTAGGGCTCAGCAGAAGCGCCAGGATCAGTGCTGCTTTCCAGCTGATTGGTGCTTCTTCTGGGCTCAGCAGAAGTGCTAGGATCAGTGCTGCTTTCCAGCTGATTGGTGCTTCTTTAGGGCTCAGCAGAAGCACCAGGATCAGTGCTCCTTTCCAGCTGATTGGTGCTTCTTCTGGGCTCAGCAGAAGTGCCAGGATCAGTGCTGCTTTCCAGCTGATTGGTGCTTCTTTAGGGCTCAGCAAAAGCACCAGGATCAGCGTTGAGCTCCAGCTGGAGCCTGGCACTGATCCTAGCGCTTCCACTGAGCTCTGACAGCCCTGAAGAAGCACTGATCAGCTGGAAAGATG